ATGTTAGAAGACTTTGGGTTATGACATAGAGTTCCATATAACTGACCTCTGGTCTTGGACCCTCTCTGTGCCAAGGGACAGGCAGAACATCCAGGGAAGAGAGTTCTAACTCCCAAAAGGATTCCAGATTTGGTTAACTATCTGAAAACAGCTGTTTGCATACTATGTGACCTGAGGCAAGTCACTTAACCTCTCTGTGCTTTAGTTTCTCCATCTGGATAGTCTAAAGCTGACCTCTTTCATTCACATCTTCAGTGTGATTGCTGCTGAGAAAACTTCCTGCCCTGGCCCCAGATGGTACCTTTCCCCCTGCAAATGAATTATAACGGAGTGTGTGTGTGTGTATGTGTGTGCACTCCTGTGGCTCCCACCATTGAGAAGGGCATGCCCACTCCATGTGCGCGCTCTGGGCCACAGGAGTGCTTCCCATGAGGTCATCAGCCTGTGCTCCCTGGAACCAGCATATCTGCTGCCCCACATGCTGACCGTGCTGATGAAAATGTGGATGGCATTATGGGCCCCTTTCCAGCCATGATCTGCCCTTCTCCAAGTTGAACAGCTCCTAGCAAGATTCCGCCTTCCCAAAGACCCCAGAACCAATATCCCCAAAACCTGTCATGCCCTCCATTTGACCTTTCACATATATACATTGACAGGCTTAGACCCTGAACACCTGAGATGGGGAGGTGGCCAGGGGGTGGGGAGGTTGCTTCCCGAGTTACCAGAAACCCCTTGGGGGAGGTTAGGTGTATAAGCAGCTAACTGTAAGAGCAGAGCAAAGTAAGAGGCAGAAAGAAATGTGAGTCGGAGTCGGGATGATGGGGAGGGGTGTATTAGAGCCCACTGAGCTAAATTCTTCATGGGAGATTGGGGAGTGCTCCATGGAAGAGGTTGCATCAAAATAATGAGTAAGACTTGGCACAAGGAGGAAAGAACAGTTCAAACTATAGGAACCGTATTAAGAAAGGCCTAGTTTGAGAGAGTGTTGATGTTTGATGAGGTGGAGCTTTGGGAGGGTAGTTAGAACTCTGTTTACAGTGAAGAGTATCCAGAGGGTCCTGGCAGACCCAGGAGGGTGAAGGCCAATGTAGAGGGCTCGTCTGCCTGGGATCCGGTCAGGTGTCCATCCCCAATGAGTAGATCGACAAAACTAGCCTGGCCGTGCAATCAGATACTGCCCCGCCTTCAAAGGAAGTGAAGCACCAGTGTCTGCTGCAACCAGAGTGAGCCTTGAAAACATTCCACCAAGTGGAAGAAGCCAGACCCTATTTCATGTGAAATAGCCAAAACTGGCAAACCTAGAGCTGTAGGAAGCAGATGGGTGGCAGCCAGGGGCCTGGGCAGTGGCTCCTTCACAAGTGCAGGGTTCCCATGGGAATGACGAAAATGCTGCGGGGCCAGACAATGGCGGTGGGTACACAACACTGAGACTCTACCGATGCAGTGAATTTTGCCTTTTAAACGGCTAAAAGAGTAAATTTCACGTTATATGAATTTTACCATAATTAAAAAAAAAGAGCAGTTTGGGACCAGATCAGACTCCACCAGCAAGGTCTGAAATCCACTCCACAGACACATGTCACTGTGCCCCCTTCTGACAGATGTCCCCACCCCACACTAGAAGCACCTTTTGGTACAGAAACCCCATTGCCAAGGAGGGCAGGATTCCTGGTGACCAGGCCTGCTTCCTGCTCGTGTGCCTGGGCTGAGGCCTAGCCCCATCACTTCCCCTTCCAAATGCTCCCTACCTCTTGGTCCTTGCTCTTGCTATCTGCACAGGGCAGGAAGTCCATTCCTTGTGACCCCCTCCCCCCAACACCTAGAAACATCATTTAAGATCCAGCTGCTATCTTCCTCTTGCAGACATCCTCCACCACAAACTGAGCTGAGCTCCCCAAGGTGTTGCATGGAGACACTGATAAAAGCAGGTATAGGTGCAATCAGGTTTGCTTCTGTGCCCACAGGAAGCCTTCTGGGAGCTGTATCGGGGGGGGGGGGGGCCTGGCCTGTTCGTCACTGTTTCTGGGGCAGCTCCGGTGCCTTGCCCACAGAGAAGATTGCTTATTGAATGCGGCAATGGCTTTGGGAAGATTCTCTCCCCTCCCAGACATTTGCAGACTGGTGACCTTCAAGTCCCTTGATCTCTGGGATTCTGTGCTGCATGCCTGTATGCATGTCTGTGTGTGCATGAGTGCGTGCCTGTGTGTTTGTGTGTGTGCGCGCGCACACACATGCACATACGTGCATGTGTTTATGTACATGAGCAGGTTGCTACCTGTTATCCCATATCAGTTTTCTGCTCCTGGTGCCTAGCTAACAGAAGCAGAGACTGAGAAAGAAGGAGCCTGCAGCAATCAACTGCAAGCAACTATTTCTGCTCTTGGCCAGGAGTCAGGAGGGCGCTGCCCAGAGAGACTGGGCTTCATCCAGGCTGAATGGACTATCTCTTCCCTTTGGAAATCTAATTAAAAGAGCACAGATGCACAGGTTTTAGCTGAGGTTGCCTAGAGTCCTTCAACTACAGGGCCGAGCAGTGGGCTCTTATTCCATTTTCCTCTACAAACGAGAGGTGCTACTCTTTCTGCTTTTCTGATTATGAAATTAGTCATTTTCTAGGAAGCTTATTTATAGAGTCCACTGCACTCATGCAGCACTGAGCTATTCTGAACATGGCTTGGGCCTGGGAGGCTTAAGGTGTGAAAGCAGCTGTGAGTCACCCATGGGTGCCCTTCTAGAGCTATCTGGATACCTTGGTTATCTTTCTGCACCCAGCCAGGGACCAGCCCTCATGGGCTGCCCTCCAGTGGGGCTGCTCTTTAGGATAAAGAGAGGAAAACTCAGGGTTGAGAGGCTGGGTATATGTGTTCCAATCCCAGTCCCCATGACCACAATTCACCACCTGTGGCAAGTCAGAACCCCCATTCTGTGCCTCAGTTTCCTCCTCTGCAAAATGAGGGGCCTTCTGGATCTGTGATTCTGTGAGCGCTCTGGACACCACCTGTAGAGGAGGATTCTGAGTGGCTTCACAAAAACCTGCCCCCAACACAGCTCAGGTGATGGTCATGTTTGAGGTTCCTGATGTTTTTTCAAGGTTGGGACAACATCACTTATTCACCAATAGTTTATTTATTGAGCACCTGCTATGAGCCAAATACTGTGTGAGGCTTTGAAATTACAACAGTAAATAAAGCAGAAATAGTGGTCCCTGCCTGCCTATAGCTGATAGGCTAATGACTGAGATAGATGTTAATCAAATAATGGCATAAATTAAAATGAAATTTCAAACTGTGTCAAGTGCTGTGAGTAAAAATTCTGAGAAGTAGAGGTGGGGGAGCTCTCTAGGCAGAGAGAACAGCACAAGCAAAAGCCCAATGAACAAAAGTCTGTCCGGTGCAGCAAGAGAGCAAGGTCAAGAGGAAGAGGGAGCTTTATAAATGGTCAAGAGGTGGGCATCCCAGCCTAGTTTCTAAGGCTCGTGTCTGCAAGTCAGGATTCCAAATCCAGAGACAGTGGCCCTGCTGGAAGGGAGCCCGAGGTATCATCAGGAGTAACGAATGAGATCGTTGACAGCTTTGATGATGCGAATCTCTCAGAATCCCTCCTCCATGGCATCTACACCCGCAGTTTTGAGAAGCCCTCTGCCAGCCAGCAGGGAGCCATTCCCATTATATCAAGGGTTATGATGTGATCACTCAGCCCAACATGGAACTGGGAAAAGGGCCCCTTTTGCCATATAGGCTCTGCGGCAGACTGAGTTAGATCTAAAGGATGCCCAAGCCTCAGTGCTGGCACCCCCTAGGGAATTGGATCAGCTGATAGAGAAGGTTGTCATGGTGGTAGGAGATTACCTAGGTGTCTCCTGCCTCACCTGCATTGGGGGTATACAGGTGCCTGTGCTTAGATACCAAAGCTGCAGTTGATACCCCTGGTCATGTGCTTAATATGTTCATGGAAATACCTGTCTCCCAGGTATATCGAGGTATTTGTACTACATGAAGCTGATGAAATGTTAAGTCATGGGCTCAAGGACCAGATCCATGACATTCTGAAAGCTCAATAGCAACACCCAGCTGGCTTTGCTGTCAGCTGCAGTGCCTTCCAATATGCTCAGAGTGACCAGGAAGTTGATGAGGGCCCCATTTGGATTCTTGTCGGATAGGAGTTGACCCTGGAGGGTATCCAATGCGGGACAAGAGGAGTGGAAGCTGGACACACCTCATGGGGGCCTGGTTGATCTCTAGCAACCTTTTTCCAGTTTACTGGTGGAGAAGAGCTAGACCCCAGTGCAGTCCTGAAAGGAGCCCTGATGCTCTAGAAAGAGGGTATTCTGGTTTCAGAAGGAAATAGAACATTTAAAGTGTGTGTGTGTGTGTGTGTGTGTGTGCACGCGCGTGTACTTTTTCTAGCTATTTCTGGAGGAGAGTGTTACACGCCATTTCCCACTGCCCAAAGCACAGGACACTTACAGGCCTTGGAGGATCTGAACACAGAATGTGTGTTACCTGGCCCCCCTTCTTGTTCACCCATGGTTCAAACGACAGGAACAAGGAGGCCAGTCAGCACAGCGGTGAGAGCATGAACCTGGAATCCTAAACTCTTATTTCACCGCCAGCTCCTCCCTAATGAATTGTGACCTTGGGGAAGTTACTTAACTTCTCTGAGCCGCTTTAATTCATAGGGCCATGGTGAAGACTCAGGGTGATAAAGTTTGTAAAGTGCTTTGCATGTAACAAGCCTTCCTTCCACAGTAGCGGTGCTGGTGACGATGCTGGCAGTAGCCATGCTGCTGGTGCTGCTTTTATCTGGAGGACTCCTCCAGGATTCTGCTTCTGCTTCTGCAGCCTGACCCTTCTCTAGGTTGGTTTTTTGTTCAGGTCCCCCGATGGGATGGAGTTATGCAAAGGGACATAGTGCAAGAAATGAAGCCTTTTTATCTTTGCTCAGGGTTTTGTCTCATTCCCAGCTCAACAGCATCACCTCCCTTTTTCATCCTGCTGCAGGAGAGAGAGAACCACCCTGCTGATGACTCCAAGGGAGGGGCCCTGGACATGTGCTGCAGTGAGAGGCTGCCGGGTGAGTCTTCCCAGCACCCAGCCCCCCCCCCCCCGAGTTCCGAATATAGGAGAGAACCCCAATGACACTGGTGCTGGAGTAAAGCCCAGCTAGCCGTGAACACACATGCGGGGAGTGACTCAGCTAATCTACAGGTCTCATTTAAACAGGGACGGTTCTTCTAACCCCTGCTGGTCTTTCTGACCTTCTATCATGAGAGCTGCTGTCGGCTCACATGGAGGGCAGAGCAGGCAGCCGAGGGTGGGCAGGAAAGGTAGAGAGAGGGGTGAAGAACTCGAGTGTCGGGCCTCCCTGGTGGTATAGGGGTTAACTCTCAGCGCTGTCATCCTTATAGCCTAAGTTCGATCCCCGGCCAGGGAGCTAACCCACATATGGCACAGCAGATTGCTTCTGTCTTGCCCGCTGCTCTCCTAAGCAGTGTATTTCAGTAAATCCTCCTGCTCTGCTCCCCACTGTCTCTACCATCTTCACCCCAGTTCTCCTCTACAAATAAAAAAAAAACACATAAAAAACTCAAGAGTCTGAGCTCAGTGGGGACATGAGCAGTAATGTGTTGCCAAAAACACAAACTGGACTGTGGCATGAACCTAGGCTGGGCAGGCGATGCTGCCTACTTCCCTGGTGAGAGGCCAGAGTCCAGCTGACCACACCCCCGGGAGCCTGGCTGTGGGCACCACGGCCATCACAGGCCCCACAGAGACCTCACCAGCTCCCTGCTGCCCATGTCCCTGCTGCCTGTGGAGTGGGGCAGCATGCCCAGTGTAGATCAAATACAGCATTGGAAGAAGTAAAGGGAAGGAGAAGTGTTTAGTAATTTTCTTCTACCTTTTTTTTTTAAAGATTTATTTATTTATTTATTTATTTATTTATTTATACAAGCACTGGGTACAGTCAGAAGCGCGGGAGGGTGAGAGAATTCACCAGAGCCCGAGCGGGGAGCAAAGCAGGCAGAAGGACCAAAGTACACTGCTGAGGGGAGCAGCAGGCGGCAGGAGAGGTCTGCGTGCCATGTGGGACCCTCACTGGCGGCTGGGGATCCAACCAGTGCTGCAGAGGCTGCAGGCAGCTTTGCAACCCAGTGCTCAACTGCTGTGCCACCAGGGAGACCCTAATTTTCTTCTTTTTATAGTGTTTTTAATTCTTTCTTATAGCAAGTACCCCATTGCAGAAATGTTAGAAAATAAAGACAAGTGAAAGAAAAAGAAAGGAAAAATCACCCTAGTCTTACAATACAGCATACATTTTATATTTCTCCTTCCAAGCCTTTTTGTTATTTAAAAAAAAAAGGGCCTTTAGAATTCCTACGAAGTTACAAATCTGTAGTTTATCATATACCTCATGATTGTTAAGGAGTCTTAGAGTCTTAAGTGACACTATTAACATCAAAATAAAAAAAAAACTAGGTATAACGCTAAAGAAATGACTCTTTAAAATAGCCTTTATTTTATTCACACCAAGCGCAGGTGCCCAGGCTCCAGATGAAGCACCTTGGGCCCCCAGTGAGGGTGAGCCCATTGGTGCAGTTCCTGCCTTGTCCAGTAGGGGGTGCCATTGTCCAAAGGACTCAGGAAGGCTTGTGCAGCTCAGGGATGGAAGTCATCTCACAGACACCTTTGTGGGCACCCAACACAGTTAACTTGAAGGAAAGAATTCTCCAAAAGGGTGTGACAGCTGTCTATGAATATCTGGGGGGCTGTCTTTCGGAGGGGGCAGCAGATTCATTCCATGTGCATGTGTATTTCATAAGAGGATAGTGCATGAAGACTCCATGTGTATTTTTAAGAGGATGTCATAAACCCAGTGAAACTAAGTAGAGACTTGTTGGCCTATAGGATGCAGAACTTTCTTTCTTTCTAACTGCAAAAGTGGTCCAGTCAGAAGTTTATCATTCAAGAGGAAGAAAATGAGTGTTCCATCACTGGAGGTATTCAAGTATTGTCTAGCCAGACATTGGAGAGGAAATTTCCACAATGGTGGGAGGTCGAGATGACATCAAAAGTCCCTTTCAACTATTAAACAGTTCTGTGATTCAGATATGAGTCATAGAATTCAGAGATGATTCTACAACCAGGGATGGCACCACTGGCTAGGAAAATATCCGTGGAAAATAGGACATAATGTATAGGAATCCAGATTGTAGCGTGGCATAGAAGAAAGAGCATAGAGTTTGACCTTTGAGTCTGGCTGTTCTGTTTACTGGCTGTGTGTTTATGGGTAAATCACTTAACCTTGCTGGGCCTCTAGCCCTCACTTGTAAATACAAACAACAATATGAATAGTTATTCTCATAACAATATGAACATTTATCCTCACATGGATTAAGCAAATAGAATCGTGCAAGCAGTCATTTAACAAATACTTAGTGAGTGCCTGCTATGTTTCAAGTTTTGTGCTAAGAGCAAGAAATATAGTGGTGACTGTAACAGACATAGTCCTTGCCCTGCTTTGAGTTGCTTCTAGAAAATGGGATGAAGCCACAGCAGAGAGGTTACAGAAATAAACCTGATATGCTGAATTTCACCCTCCAGCCCATTCCTCCCCAAAGGTCAACCACCCCCCATAGAATGGAAGAGGAGCACTGGACATCTCCTCTGGGCATGGCACGTTGCCCTCCTGTGTCAGGCCCTGCTCTAAGTGCTTTTGCACGTATATCTCCTGTGATCCTCTCCACTGTCCCAGAAAGTCCCTGTCATTTGCTATCCCTGTTTTATAGGGGAGAGGACTGAGGCCCAGGGAGGTTAGGGACTAAGGCCACTTAGCCAATGTTTGGTAGAAAAAGGACTCCATGCAACCTTCCTCCACAGCCTGTGCTCCTGGCCACCACCCGACCCTGCCTCCACTGTCACCATGCAGTCATCGTCATTGCCCTGTGCACTGAGGCAGGAAGAGCTAAGATGTGTCTGTCCCCAGGGAAGAGTTTGAAGGATCTGGGCGATGTCGCAGTGCATGTCCCCTTCTGTGTCCTTCCTCTGGAAAGCCCTGCCTGCCAGGGCCCAGGCAAGTTAGCTGCCCTGTAGACTTTCGATGCCACCCTGATATGGCATTAAAATTATTTTGCCTGTCCCATCCGAGGGACCCTGAGCTCTTGGAAAGCAAGTACCTCTCTATCTTATCACTGGCTGTTCATGTAACTCCTACATGTGCTGGGGATTCTTGGGAGCACTGGAGATTCAACATGGAACCAGATTAGACAAGTTCCTCCTCCCCCACCTTCACAGGCCAGTATTATGTACTGGGGAAAAGCAGGGACTCTGGACCCAGGCTTGGACTCCACTTATCATTGGCAATCCCGGGCAAACTCCTTAACCTCTCTGAGCCTCCTATTTACATGGTGGTTAAAATAATATTCATGGTCATGTAGAGCTGTTGGAGGATTGAATGGATTCATCGAGAAAGACCTTAAAACAGTTCCTGCATGTAGCAAGTGCTATAAGGCATTGCTATTAAGGGAAAGATAGAAAATAACAAAATACACAAGTAAGATATATAGTATGGCAGGAACTGGCCTGCTCTGGGGGAAATGAAAGCCAAGAGGGAAGTGGGAAAAGATGAGGGAGGGAGGTGACATTACAAACAGGGCGATGCTAGAGCCTGAATAGGTATAGACATCTGTCAGTGAAACCCCGGGCCTGAACTGCAGCTTGGACGTGAAAGGAGTTGGAAGGATACAGACCAAGAGAAATGAGGTGCTGGATCTTTGGAATGAGCTTCTGGGCACTGAAAGACACTGCGTAATGAGATTGCAGCCCTCCAGCAACCTCTCCTCCTCCCAGCCATCTCCCCCCCCGGACAAGACGAGGGGCAAGCCGAGTGAGGGCCAGCCGTGACTCAGTCACCTCCACACTCCAGACCAATACTCCAGACCACAGTCACCTCAGCCAGCACTGAGCAGGTCATGCAGGTCATACAGCAGGTGTTGGCTTTGCCAGCGCCCCCGGGCTGCCCACAGCTGCCCTGTGGACAGAACACACACAGACACCAGGCTGTCCATGCGTGTGCTTGACACGTGTGTGGTCTCACTTGTCATAGCCTCTTGCACATGGACACACGTGCACATAGCCACATGCAGTCATCCAGGCACGCACCCTGTCTGTCTCACACAGCCCTGCGGGGCACACACCTACCTTTAATCTCACATGCCCACAAATCTTCCTCTTGTACTCAGACTCTCCTACTCCTTCCATCCACCCCTCCCTCTAGACATGTTTCTTCAAGATAGACAGACCTGCCTGCTCTCTGTGCCTGCTCTGGGTTCCTTTCTTTTCCAAAACCATGCCCCCTTCTCATAAGTGACACATGCGCGCACACGCGCGCACACGCAGGTAGGCACACTCCTCCCCTCCCTGGCCTATTCCCAGGCTTGGTTCCCAGGTACTGGAGCCAGCACCGGGTGCTGCAGCACTCCATGCACCTGCACATGCACTTGCACATGCACTTGCACACTTACTTTCCCTTTCCCTCATGCACACACTCTTTTTCACATCATCACCCCCTTATCTCCTTTCCCCTTGCTCGTTCACTTGCTTACAGTCACCCAAACACATTTATACATTCAACCTCACACTCCCGCCTCTTCGGTGTGTAGGTGTTCACATTTGCAAGAAACCAGGCAACCCTGCTGACGCTGGGGCCCCCGCTCCTTCCCCAACTACTGCTGGTGCAGGCCTGCCTGGGCCCAGCAGCTTCCTCCAGGTACAGGACAGAGGAAGGAGGGAGATAAGGCAAAAGCAGGTGCCAGTAGATGCACCAGCACCAAATGTTACTCGCAGTGTCCCTAAGGAGCAGGCCTGCTCCTCGCATTTGCAGAGACCAAGGCCAGAATGCAAGCAAGGCCCCGGTGGTACTGCACCCCCCTGCTCAGTCCTGCACTGCAGGAGCCCTGTGTGCTGCACGTGGGCACATCAGACTCTATGTCTGTGTCCTGTCCACTGTTTGCCCCAATAGCTGCTCCCTGGTGACCCCTCAAACCTAGAGGTCCCCAACAGAGGCTGTGCCCTCTC